TTCAGCTTTAGCGTTAATTGTTATAATTAAATAATCGAATTTTTACGCTACAAGGGGGTTCTTGCCGGTGTACCATTTTTCGATGAAGTTTTCAATCAATTGAACTGCAGGTTGATTTTAATTAGTGAATTGTTTTTTTTCCTTAGCTGGATGACTTAATTTTTTATAATGAATTTTATTGTTTTTTAAAGTGTTGAGTGGTTTTTGAAAGAAGGAGAATATTTTGAACCAATAAAAGAAATTGCTAAAGTTAAAGGAAAAGCTTGTAATATTCTCTTGGGTGAACGGACTGCTCTCAATATCATTGCACGTTGTAGTGGAATAGCAACTAGGGAGGTGAACTATTATATTTATATTATTAAACTACAACGTCAATCTGAATTTAAATTTGAAAAGAATGATTTTTTTTCGTTTTTCCAGAAGCAAGAAATGTACAGATCTCAAAAAGGAGCATAGCTTCAAAGGCATAATTGCAGGAACGCGAAAAACGACACCAGGTATCCATAATAATAATTATGATATCAATTATTGCTAAGTGTAATAATAATTTATCATACGGTATATTGGTGCATTATACAGGATTTCGTCTTGTTGAGAAATATGGGATGCTTGTCGGAGGAGCCGATACTCATCGTATGAATCTCTCTTCCATGGTAATGCTAAAAGACAATCATATCTGGAGCCAAGGTTCACAATTTTCGCATTATTGTTAAAACTCGCCGTCGATTACATAGTTAACTTGTTACTCATTTCTCAGGGTCAATAACAAAGGCAATCGAACATGCTAGAAATGTTTGTGGATTTTCACTAATGATAGACGTTGAATGTCAAACCGAAGCAGAAGCCGATGAAGCCATTCAAGCAGGAGCAAACGTGATTATGCTTGATAATTTTGAAAGCAAAAATTTGAAATCTTGTGCAAAATCTTTAAAACAAAAATGGACGGATAAAAAATTTTTACTCGAATCTAGTGGTGGAATTACAGATGAAAATATTACCGAATATTTTTGTCCTGGTATGTTATTTTTATTTGTCACTATTTACGCTTGCTAAGAATAGATGTTTCATTTATGCTGATTTAATATACATTTATGGGAACTATATCAGATATTGACATTTTAAGTTTGGGATGTTTGTCTCAGGGAGTGAGACATGTAGATTTTTCTTTGAAGATTAAAAAGGAATCTTAGTTTTTACATAAAATAGTATGGTAGTTTGTAAATTAAATTGTTTAGAGTGATCACAGAATCTCCATTATTTTAATGTATTTGCTGAAGTTCAGTTCTATATGATATATATATATAATTTAATAATGTTGATTCTTTAATGATTAACTTAAAGGTAATTTCTGGAAATCATCTAATATGTGAAACAAATATAATCTATAGTTTATAATTTATTGTCTGGAACAAGTGGAGGGATAATTTATTTCCTTTCATTTGAGGGTCCGATGTTTTTACATATATGTGTTTGGCCTTTCCATATTATAAAATATAAGATATCTTAAGTACATTAACGGAGCTTGATTCTTATATTTAACTTTAAAAATATATTCCTTACACAGTTATAAAAGATCTGATACAAATATAATCCAATATAGTTTTAAGGAAATTTTGTAGTCGACTCAAGTCGCCAACTAATATTAAATTTCTTGCATATATATGTATATTTCATAATGATATTGGTTGACGACTTCAGTCGACTACAACGGAGAAGATGGGCTAGACGCGTTATCAATCAAAATCAGAAGTCCGAAAAACTTTTTTGGGTTTAGCTTAATATGTAATTTGGCAACCGAATTTTTGCTTAATTTCTTAAGTTCGCTGTGATGTAATTCAGCAGAATCATAGACCTTTATCAAAAACTCATTAATTGATCCCTCGCCTATTCGGATTTGTCGATGACACTGATTTTTAATTGGTTTAGTAGTCAGCTAAATATAGGGGTCATCTAAAACAAAGTCAAATTCATGTAACTTGCATTTTGACTAACGCGAGTGTTTTGTATTTGCTTTTCTTTATTTGAACTGTTTTTGTTTCTTCTAGCCTTTTGCAAAAATCTTTGACTTAGTAAACATTAGCATTAGACTAGAAAATTTGATAAATAAATAAACAAGTAAAAAAATCCAATCTGTGTAAAAACAGTCGGTACAGTAAAACCTCTATAAGTGCGCGCTCTTGGAACCAAACTTAACGATAAGCATTTAGAAAACAATAAGAAAAAGCGCATTTATAGAGGTCGTGTATATATTTGGGCCCGAAATTGAGCGTGTATTTAGAAAGAGATGCATTTATAGAAGGTGCATTTATGAAGGAGTTATTATATGTTAATGATTTTATGTTTGTTTTTTTCGATAGTGCTAAACTTTGACTTTTATCTTGTTAGAGTTTTTTGCATCTAAAACTTTAAATTAAGAAGTTAAAATGTATTGGTTTCTTTGATACCGATTTTGGTACTATTGATTCGGTCCTCAGTATTCTAAGATTTTCAAGAAGCTTGTTGGCCTTGTTTCTTGCTGCCAGGCGATTTTTCATTAATATATGGGGGTGCTAGTAGAAACCAAGCAACTTGTTTCTATTTAAACTTTGAACCCAAATAGGATGTTCTATAGAATAGGTAGGCAAACTCCGCAACTTGCTTTAATTATTAGCGTAGCTTATTTCTTATATTGCCCACCTATTCCTGTATTCTCTAATCTTAACAGGCTGTGAAATTTACAACCCTGCATCTGACCAATCAAAATAGCATAATTAGCGTGATCTGCAAATTTTCTTTGTATAACAAAAATAAAAAAAATTACTTATAACACAAAATTTAGCTTAAGAAACCGCTTTTGGTGTTATAAGTAAAAAAAAATTCCTTGCTAAATCTTACTATAAAATTCATTATACTTAACCCAATCCTAACTTAAATAAAAAACTTTTTTGAAGTAAACTATAGTAAATTTAATTGGCTAAATGCAGACCTGTGAATTTCACAGGCTGTGAATTGTAGTAATTTTCTTTTATTAAAAGAAGTTTATTTAATTACATTTTTATATTCTGCAGTTCTAAGCTAAAACTTTAAAATTATTAATATCTTTATTTTTACTCATTTATTTTTATATTTTTGAAGTTATAAGCTTTATATTAAGTTCAGATATATTATAGTAATTAAAATTTTTATATTTCCTATCATTTAAAATTAAATTCATCAAATACAAATATATACTTACTTGTTGTAATGCCTTGAGTTAGCCTATATTATATATTTAATCTATTTTTTAGCTATACAGAATTTTTAATATCTAAATAAAATATAAATTCTTATATGAATAAAGTTATTACAATAAAAAAAAATAAATCTTAATTTAACATATTTTTAAAAATTTATTGAACTTTAAGAAATGAATTTGATTGTTAGTTTTGTATGAATTCATTTATATAAATTTGATTGCTAGCTTGATTATTAGCTTGTACAAATTTAATTAGCAGCTTATACAAATTTGATTGTTAGTTTATATAAATTTGATTGTCAGTTTGTATAAACTTAATATAAAAATTTATCTATTCATATATTTTTGCATTTGTTATCTAATCTTATTCTTAAACTTTATTTGTTTCTATAAATATTTAAACTATTTGCAAGTAGATTCTAAGTGTAATGAAGTATTTCAAGAAAGTGTGTTTACAATGCAGAGATGTATAGAATCCTACATAATTGGCTTGCAAAGGTATACAGGTTTGAAATAACTATTCAGTAATATCTAAAAAGAATTGGTAATTGACATTATTTTTATAATAAAAAGCCAAATAACCTCTATTCTGAAGCAATTTTTAAATTACAGACTACAGGATCTGTCTTTATATTTATAATCATTTTAATTAAATAATAATATATGCCAACCAGCTTTGATATTAGAAAATTTAGATCATACATTTTTTTAAAAAAGATTTTATAGTATATAAACTATACTAACTTTTAGCTAAATTATATGATAGAAGGTTTAATATCACTCACTTCTGATATAATAAGAACTTTAAGAATATAAGGATGAGTGTCATATTTTGGGATACTACTAGTGAGTTTTACAAAATTATAGATGAAATAATTATACTCTAATCTATTCCTATACTGTATGTTATTGTCAGGAGCAAAGCAGAGAACTTACATGTTTATGTGCTTTGATGACTGAAATTATGATTTTGTACATCTATAATAATAATATCAAAAATGTAATTTCAGCATTTTCCATTTATAATACCCCTGAAAATTTTGATCTGTGATATAAGGTAAAAGGGGGTATTTTGGCGAAGTTGAAAAAATTAATATAAAATTTTTTTTATTTTCATTATAAAAAAATTTTTTTATTTTTTATTTAAATTGTATATTTATTTAGAATTGTTTTTATAAAAAATTGGTAATATAGAAGATTGTTTT